ACAAACTCTTACCCCAGTATAAAAAATCCATTCAGCAAATGTTAGAAATAGGTGCTATCGAAGAGTGTCATTCTTCAATAGGACAATTTATATCATCTTACTTTATAATTAAAAAACCCTCTGGCTGTTATAGGTTTATTTTAAATTTAAAAAGCCTTAACAAATTTTTATTTGCTCCTCATTTTAAATTAGAGAATTACAGAACTGTAATAAAACTTATAAATAAAAATTGCTACCTTTCAAATATCGATCTAAAGGATGCATATTATTTAATTTCAGTTAATAAAAAGTACAGAAAATACCTGCGATTTCGCTTCGAAAATCGTCTATATCAGTTCAGTTGTTTACCATTTGGTCTTAACATCGCACCATATATTTTCACTAAACTTATGAAACCGTTAACAAAAAAACTGCGTCTTATGGAAATAAGTACTGTATTTTATTTAGATGATATTCTTATTATAGGTAAAAATAAAAATGAATGTAAAAAATACACGAAAATAGTTCTTTCAGAACTAGCCAAATTAGGATTTATAATAAATAATAAAAAAAGTATGTTAATACCTCAACAAACTATTAGATTCTTAGGGTTTATATATAATACTAATAAAATGACCATTTCACTTCCTGGTGAAAAACGTAAAGCCATTCAAAATTTGATTTTAAATTTACGGAAGAAAAGGAAATGCACAATTAGGGAATTTGCCCAACTAATAGGCAAACTTGTAGCATCTTGTCCTTCAACAAAATATGGTTTTATTCATATTAAGCAGTTTGAAAAAATTAAACATTTTTTGTTGCGAGGAGACTATTACAATTATAATAAAAAGATGCATATTCCAACCTCTTTAAATAATGAATTAGAGTGGTGGCACAATAATATAGGATTAGGTCAATCGATAAAATCTAAAAATTTCTCACTTGAAATTTTTTCAGACGCCTCCAAGACGGGTTGGGGAGCGTTTTGTAACGGTCACAGATGTCACGGTTTCTGGAATAATAAAGAGCAGGTAAAACATATTAATTTTTTAGAAATCAAAGCCGCCTATTTCGCCTTGAGATCACTTGCTAAAGACAAAGAAAATATTTCCATTTTATTAAGAATTGATAATCAAACGGCAATATCGTGTATTAATCGAGGTGGAAGTGTTAAATACTCATATTTAGATAATATTACAAAAGCTCTTTGGCAGTGGTGTGAAAAGAAGTGTATTATAGTATTCGCTAGCTATATTAGTTCATCTGCTAACTTTGAGGCAGATAGAGAATCAAGATTTTTCTCAATTAATACTGAATATGAGCTAAATGACACTGTATATAATCAAATTATACAGAGATTTGGTTCTCCGGAAATAGATTTATTTGCAACTAGAATTAACAAAAAGTGCAATAAATTTGTTTCCTGGTTTCCAGATCCTGAGTCATGGAAGGTTGACGCGTTCACAATAAGGTGGTCAGAATTTTTCTTTTACGCTTTCCCCCCCTTTTCAATAATTACTAGGGTCTTAGAAAAAATTGTTCAGGAAAAGGGATTAGGAATTGTAGTAGTACCTTATTGGCCTACACAGGCATGGTATCCCCTGTTCACTAAGTTGTTATTAGAGAAACCTATTTATTTTAAAGCAAACAAATTTTTACTTGTCTCTCCTTTCAGAGACTACCACCCACTACACGAGGAGATTTCCCTGGTAGTAGGGAAATTATCCGGCAGGCTTATATAAGAAAGGGGGTTCCAGTGACAGCAATAGAAATAATCGAGGCATCTATATCAAAAGGAACACTTAAACAGTACACATCTTGTTATAAAAAATTCTGGCAATTTTGTGCTGACAGTAACAGGGATCCTCTTGTTTATAAGCTAGAAACATATTTGGATTTTTTATCCGATGCCTTAAAAGAAGGTCTTTCATTTTCTGTCGTCAATTCTTATAGATCAGCTCTTAATTTGATATTTAGTCCTATAAGTAATAATGATGAAAAAGTAATTAATCGTTTTGTGAAGGGAGTGTCTAATATTCGACCACCAGGACCTAAATATAAGATTACTTGGGATCCAGACCCTCTATTAAAATACCTAGGTACATTATATCCTCTAGAGGCGTTAGATTTAGAATACGCAACTTATAAACTAGTCACTCTTATGGCACTGACATCAGCCAGCAGAGTTCAGACTCTTTCTCTAATTAAAGTTCAAAACATTAATATATCGGTAGACAGAGTTGAGATTAAAATACCAGATAGAGTAAAAACATCCGCTCCAGGCAGATTCCAACCGCTACTAATTTTTCCGTTTTTTAAGAGTAAACAAGAACTTTGCGTTGCGTCCACCATTGCGGACTACATTAAAAGAACGAAACCAATACGCAATACCGAAGAAAAACTAATTCTTACCCATAAAAAACCACACCGTTCAGCATCTTCTCAGACAATAAGCAGGTGGATTAAAAATACTTTAAACTTAGGTGGCGTAGATACGTCCATTTTTTCAGCCCATAGTGTACGTCACGCTACAACTTCGGCTGCGTATAAAGCAGGCGTAAATATAGAGATAATTAAAAATACAGCAGGCTGGACTCCTGCCTCGAACACCTTCTTTAGTTTTTATAATAGACCTGTAGAAAAACCTCAAGATAAATTTGCCAAAGCCATTATTGAATTGGGTTCTAATAAATCGTAGTGTTCTACTGTTAGTAGTATTAAGTATTTTTTTATTATTATTTAGGTGTTATCAATATATCATATTCATTCTATTAGTTATAAGTTAAAAGTTAAGTTCTTTACATTATATACTCAGTAGTTAGTTATAAACTCAGAGTTTATGTTAATCATTTATTAGTAAATATGTAAAAATATAAAAAATATAATTTCCAAAGTTTTCTAAAGTTCAAAAAAAAAATATTTTTTAAATTTTAGAATTTATATTTCTTACAATAAGTAATTGTTAGAGAAGTTAATATCTTATGATAATAATTAATTATATCAATATATGGTTATAAAAAATAAAAAAATTGCCTTTGACTTTGAACATCTACATGGTAATTATATCAAGGACAAGCGAAGGAAAATTAAAAGATTAATCGACTTACCTGAAGGATGATTAATCATAATTTTCCGAGCTTGTCCGAAGATATAATTACCCAACCCCCCCTATATACCCCAGATCCTAGGCAATTTTTTTAGACACTTCAACGGAATGACAACACAGGCAGCGATCGAACCGGGCCACAGATCAAAAAAACTCCAAAAAAGTTCGTGCTGATGAGTAGGTTTATTCGGAAACTACATGGTAATTATATCTTCGGACAAGCTCGGAAAATTATGATTAATCATCCTTCAGGTAAGTCGATTAATCTTTTAATTTTATTACTGTATATTAATAGAATTATGTTAAGTGAATCTGTGTAATAACGGACGTTATTTTAATAAGGCATACCTTTTGCAATGATGATGATTAAATGCAGTTAATCGGTATGGTCAGTAAATTAAGAAGTTTGTAAATGTTTAACAGCATATACCATGTGATGCATCAGAACACGGGACATGGGAAATCCCATGTACATTTTCAAAAGATCAAATCTATACTAATATACCTATAAAATCCTTAAGTGACTGACATACTGATTAATCACGATCCTGCTCAAACCACTCAACGTAAGAAGCTCAATTTTGGCATACAGGTTGATTCTAGGGTGTAGAGGTTCGATAAGAAGATTTTTCGAAATTCCAGTTCCAAGAGGGTGAAACCACCCCTCAAATATTACAATATTTTTTATTTAAAAAACGGTCAAGTTTCCGAAAAAACGCTTAAACACGTATATTTTATTCTGTTTTTTTACATATTTTAAGATTTTTTAAAAATGTATACAGGTTGTTTCGAAAAATCTGGTGATTGATTAATGACGATGCTGCTTAAAGCGCTTGACGTAAAAAGCTGATTTTTGGAAAACAGATTGACTTTAGGGTGTAGAGGTTCGATAAGAAGGGATTTTTCGAAATTGCAGTTCCAAGAGGGTGAAACCACCCCTCAAATATTACAATATTTTTTATTTAAAAAACGGTCAAGATTCCGAAAAAACGCTTAAACACGTATATTTTATTTTATTTTTTTACATATTTTAAGATTTTTTAAAAATGTATACAGGGTGTTTGGAAAAATCTGGTCATTGATTAATCACGATCCTGCTTAAAGCGCTTGACGTAAAAAGCTGATTTTTGGAAAACAGATTGACTTTAGGGTGTAGAGGTTCGATAAGAAGGGATTTTTCGAAATTACAATTTCGAAATTCCAATTGTTCCAAGAGGGTGAAACCACCCCTCAAATATTACAATATATTTTATTTAAAAAACGGTCAAGTTTCCGAAAAAACGCTTAAACACGTATATTTTATTTTGGTTTTTTACATATTTTAAGATTTTTTATAAATTTATACAGGGTGTTTCATAAAATATGACCATTGACTAATCACGATTCTGCTTAAACTGCTTGAAGTTTAAAGCTGATTTTTGGCAAACTGGTTGACTGTGGGAGTTCCATAAGGAGGTGTTTTTCGTATCTCAAATGCCAAGAGGGTGAAAACGCCCCTCGAATATTACAATATTTGTTATTTAAAAAACGATTAGTCTTTCGGGAAAACGCTTGGACACGCATAATTTATTTTGTTTTTTTACATATTTTGAAATTTTTTTAGAAAATCATACAGGGTGTTCTAAAAAGTTTGATAGTTGATTAACCACGATTCTGCTTAAACTGATTGACGTAAAAAGCTTATTTTTGATGAAACTACCCCTCAAATATTACCAAATTATATAATAATATCGCCATATTGTTTTTTCTCATGCTGACATAAATGTGAGAAAATTTTATCCAGTTTGTATGTTAATGGAAATTCTTGCTTTGCTTTATCATCACAATTACAAATGATTAATTCGACGCGAACGAAGTCGCGGGTACACGCTAGTATTACTATATAATTATAACGTATATATCTCAAAGGACTTACCCTTTTGACGTGATGATCTCCCTTTTTCGTCGTACAAGAACAGCGTTTTTCATTGGTCGGTCTGTCGGAATCGTTATAATCTGGTGTAGTACCGTGCTGAACCAATATATTCAAACACTATATTTAAGAAAAAATAAAAAACCCAAAAATTAGCAATAAATTATTAAGGCTTCTGTAAAGATTGAGTTACTTCGACTTGTTGGTTTTCAGCAGCGTCATTGATTGGACTTTTTCCATATTTATCCAGACTTAGTCTGGCCCCGTGCTTCAACAACCACCTAACGGTATCCAGGTGGCCTCTGGATGCGGCGAAATGAAGTGGAGTAGCTCCATCTCCGTCTCTTAAGTTTGGATCGACACCTTGCTCTTGAATCTGTAAAAGAAAACAGAGGTAGGTTACAACCACTGGTGCTTTTTTTATTGATATATATCATAAGATTTTTAAAAATGAAAAATAAAAGGCGAATGTCATGAACGCCGTTTTTGTTCGATGATAGAGTGAATCTTTATCAAATTAAGAGCAATAATTATTTTCAGGACTGGTATTTAAAAATATATGCATTTTATGCTTAAATTTTGAGAACCACTGGATTTTTTCAGTCTCGGTCTTCCATTTGCTCATCACTAAGTAAAACCAAGGCATTAAAAATAATAAAAAAAAATAGTACCATCCACTTGACGCAATTTAGACAACCCATCTGACTAGCGGCGTGAATGGGTGCCATACCATCTTTAGCACGCACATAGAGGGAACCACCTGCTTCCAGTACCAGAAACTTGAGGACATCTAAATGGCCTTCTTGGGCAGCCAGGTATACCGGTGTGACGTCATTGTCCATCTGGGTATTGGCACTGCAAAAAATAACAGAAATTAAAAAAATAAATAAAGAAATCTTTAAATATTTTTAGCCGACCATACTAACAGGTATGGTAGGCTATTAAGATCGCCAAAAAAAAGTTTTATTTAGCTCGACCCGTATGGTATTTATTTATTTGTTTGTTTATTTGGGTCAAAATTAGAAATTGAAATTTAGTACCTTCCTGTTGTCAGATTGATCTGAAATTTGGTACACACCTTTAGTTCCGATGACAATACAATATAGTAATATCAATAACATTGTAAATCTAAGATGGCCGCCGGTACAACATGGCGGATTTCATATTTTTCCACAACCCCCTCAATATGGGTATCAAATGAAAGGGCTACACTAGTAGAATACTGTGATAATGACAAAATTTAAAATCCAAGATGGACGTCGTTACAAAATGGCGTATTAGGTGAGGGCATGAGTAGTCGTGTCCAGAACAGTTGTGTCCAAGATTGTGATGTTAGAAGGACAGATAAAAAAAATAGGTAATGAATTTTTTTGTGAAAATGTTGCGGTCCAACATTGACGTTACAAAAGGATTGGTAATGGTGCTATAGGCCACATTACAGAAATTGTTTGGCCTCAGTTCCGTCGAACCTCAAATGTACGAAACAGATGTACCATCAGTTTGATTGACTTTGGCAGAGACGGCATACACGTTATACACTCGAAAGCCATACAGTTTCCAGCAAAATTCAATTATGGTACGGCTGAAAGAAGGATGTTACCCTTTAATTTTGTCATGGGCATCCACCGTCCATAAAATGCAGGGCAGCACAGTCGACCATGCAGTAGTGTATTTGGGCTCAAAATTGTTTGAGGAAGGGCAAGCATACGTGGCTCTAAGTCGAGTCAAGTCTCTGGAAGGGCTATGTATTGAGGAATTAGATTGTAATAAATTATCAGGTAAAAAACCATGTAATAATGATGCACTAAATGAATTAAATAGACTGAGGAATATTCGGTAGGGATTTCCGTTAAATACTAAAAACTAAAAAATAAAAAATCGGTAAAAAAACTCGGAAAATAAAAAAATCAAACAAAAAGTAAAACCAAAAGTTAATTGACAGACAGAACATAAGAATAAAAAAAGATGAGATAAAATAAAATAAAAAATCGGTAAAAAAACTTTTAAGTTAAACGGTTTTATCTTATGTGCACTGAAAACTAGAAAATAATAATAACAATTAGGTATTTTGAACTTCTAGTTCAGAAATATTTTAGTACTAGGCAGAATAGCTTTTAGGCATATTAGACTAAAATAAAAACGTGGGGCCCCTCTCTCCTCCTACCTATGGCAAAGCATATCTTTATACTTTGGTAGATCATGAGCTCGGCGTTCGCTGGTGAAACCGCCACGGCTGGTTATTGATTGTCAAAATCTCCAGTTACGATTATAGTAAGTCGATGCAATCCACACTTAGTATAGAAGAAAGTATTACGGAGAATTCATTATTTCTCGCAGCTTAAGGAGTAATTTTTAAATGTAGGAACGACTTTAGCTCCAAATAAAACTTTTATATTCTTGTCTAATACTAAAATCTTCTGAAAGTCTTTCATAATAGACAAGCGGGTTTTTCTTCTTAGGTGGTAGTTTTCATGGTAGTAACAGGTGGTAACAGTTAGTATTAAGATCGGCAAAAACCGATTTTTTTAATTTCACTAAAAATTTGGGTCATAAATGACCTAAATACAAAATATTTTCATTGTGTCTGTCTGTCTGTCTGTCAGTCCGTCTGTAACACAATAACTCAAAAATCGCTAAACCGATTTTAACCAAATTTGGCACAAAAATACTGTGGCACCCGAGAGTCTGGCCATTAGTTTTTGGAGGGGGTGGGGGGGTGGTAAGGGGGTAAGGGAGGAGGTTAAAAATTAAAAAAAATCGTAACTCCAAAATTACAATAGCTAGCCAAACGCGGTTTTCAATTTAACATTAGGAATAATATTTGCAACAAAATTTGTAATAACATCAAAATCAGTCAAAGTCGAAAAAAAAATTGGAAAAATTTCTTTACTTTGAAACTAAAAGAACTGCCTACCAACTTTTTATTAACATATTTTAGTATGGGCGGCTTAAACGTGCCTCCCGGCGCCAATTTTTTTTAGTATGTACCTGTCACTTATAATAATATAATTTCTTTTATTCGTATTTTGGAAAATTAGATCATTTTATTTTTAGCAAATTAATTTATTTTTGCTCTCCTTGTATACGAAATTATTCTGACTAATTTATTATCAGTTTTCTAGGATTTAGAGACTTACATGTGAGTTTAATATCCAACCATTCACCTGTATAATATAATATAATACAAATAATAATCTAAAATACGTTTGCGCTTATTAGTACTGTAATTATTTTTTTTAAAAAAAAATGTTGCACATTATTTTCTCAAATAATAGATTGTGTTAATTAAAAACCCAACTCTAGAAATAATACAACATAACAAACAAGAAAAAATATACAACAGTCTCTGATTTATGAGAAATTACATGGCACTTTTACCATTCCGAAAGTAATTATAGATACGTGTACTCTGTTTTATTTATTCTGAATGTTTTATTATCTAAATTAAAGTATTAAATATGCATATTTCACTTATGTAATGCGTGCAAATCTTTCTTTGTACCAATAGTATTGCATAGCCTACTTTGAAATTCATAAAGAAAAAAATTGATTGAAAATATCGATCAGGTATGAATTAAAGAATAAAATATAATCAATCCCAAGCAGTTTACAAGTTCTTTCTTCATTGAAAGTACAGGGTGTGCCACTAAAAATAGCTCTCGGCTGTATCTCGGAAAGTATTAGCCGTAGCGGCTGCGGAAAAAAATATTTATAACTAAAGAGGCTATGGGAAATTGCTGGAAATTATTTTCAAGTTTGTAGAACGACCGCTAGGGGGCGCAACTGCAACAAAAACGGTAAAGAGAAAATATTATGTTTCTTTTATCGAGATTTACCAGCCCTGAAGATATTTGCACTTATTTAAGATTCACCCTGTATAGAAATCAGGGAACTAAAAATCTTTCACAAAAAATAAAATACCCAATTCAAGGACAAAATCTGAAATAGAAGACTAAAGCAATATATTTATAATAAGAATAAATCCATGAACATTAAATAATTTTTTTATAGGCCCTCATAATTGCTTTAATTTGAAATAATTTTAAAGCGCCAATTGATGACGTATGAAAAATACGCCCAAGAACCGTGCTCGTGCGCCAGCCAACAACTGGCAACATTGCGATTTGATTTGACCAGCACCACCTCAACTCAAGGCCAATCAACATGATATGGGCAAGGCAAATATGGCGGCGAAGGCAGCGCATTATTAAATTGTTTACCTTTAACCTGAAAAGCCTGTAGTGGTTTCTCGTTCCGATTGCATACCAGAAATAATTAATTATCTCTAGTTTGTTGTGTTTAATACTAAATATTTACTGAAGTTTATTTATTGATCAGTTATTGTGTTGCAATAATAAAATAATACTACCTTATACAGAGTGTACTAAAAATTCAAACCAGACATTTCCACATAGGGAACTTCAAACTTTGTTTAAATCGGACGCCCTCTATTATTAATTATTTGAAGGCAAGAACTTTAAGTATTTATCAAGATATTATACCAAATGAGTAAAAAGCCTTCAAGCCGCCAGTCTGCATAGTTCTTTATAATGGTTACCCTAATAATCAAAAGATAGGTATGGAGGGTAGGTATTAACATTTTATTTTAAACCTGCAAATGCCTTTTATATGCTCTGTTCCAAATTATTACGGGAATTATAGCAAAACGATAAGGTTTCTGTCCTTTTATATTCAAAAAAAAAATGACGAGCTTCGTAAAAAATGGTTGACAGCTAAAATTAATTAATTTCACACTATTAGTTTCCGGCAAGAAGTGCATTAAATATGCCTCAAAAGACCAAAGGCCAAAGCCTTCTGTTACTCTAGTGAGGATATAGTTATGGCTACTGCTTACACTTGTTAATAAATTATTCTAAATAAATGTGGATTTGAGTCAGAAATCAATATAATAATAAGTTATCAAAATTAAAGTCTCTGTTGGTTATAAATCAAGCTATTTATCAAAAAAATGAAATGTCATTGACAACATTGACATTTGAAAATATAATCAGCCTGATGTAAATCTTTTTAGGTCACAATTGCCCCTTAGATACGTGGAGAATTTATTATTAAATCCATCTTGTTCAGAATATCCAATATTTTATTGAAGAACTGTGCATATTAAAGGAATGACCCTTTTACCCCAAAGACAATGCCCTATGTAAAGAGAAAGAGTAAAATAAACTGAGCTATATCGACAAGTTTTACTTACGTACTCTCAAAAAGCTATTTAGTTTTTTTTTCTATATTAAATAGAAGACATATTATATTTTTATATGAAGACTTGAAAGACATTTCTAAATTTTAAGAAAATCCTCACCTTCTATAGTTTAAAGAGATTCCCATTAAAAATGCTATAATATAATAGAAAAAAATATTCCATATTTTTGGACCCAAGCCAGTGTAGTTTATAATTCCAAGAGCATTTACCAAGGCTTTTACTAAGACAATGGTAGGTAAGTGTTTGCAATGGAAAATTTAGTTTATATTGCTATTTCCTGTGCATATATTTCGTGGTATACAAGGTTTTCCGATGATCTTGAACAAGTTATATGCTACCTCAAGCTTTGAATATTTTAACACTACCTACCTATTTTCTGTAGAAGGCAGATTATTTTTATAAAAAGTAACTAACTGATGTTTTCATAAAAGTAATAATATAAAATATTCCATACTTATTTGGAGAACTTTAGAGAAATGAAGCCTTAAAATTTTTAGTGAAATATTACACTAAATTGACATTATTTGAAAAATGTCTATTTGGAAATAAGTATAACAGGTCTTAATCAAATTTACCTTTATTTTAATCGTAGAAACTAAAATGTAATAATATACAGGTGTTCCATTTAAAAAAA